GGGTGTGGGTGTGGGTGGGTGTGGATGTGGGTGTGAGACTTCTCGTGATGTCGGTACCCACACCCACACCCACACCCACACCCACCCACACCCACACCCACACCCACCCACACCCACACTTAAAAGAGATCAGCTCTCGAAACAATGATACAAAAGACAGATTTGAAGACCCGTTCACTCGTTACAGAAAACTTGTCAGAAGGAATCGATGAACCTTCTAATTTGCCATTAGCATTCTATATTCGAGGAGAAGTTTCTCTACATTGAAGGAGAGGGGGTCTTCTAATATGTCCATGGCTTTCTCTGTTGTTGTAAATGAAATCGCACTCATACTGTGCTTTTCTCGTTAGTTACATACTATGTCTTAGTATATAAGAACCTTGAAAAGCACAGTAGATTCATCATCTGTCTCTTTGATTCATTCTGAGTCAATCTTTTCTCAGCCACTGCTGTTCACTCGTCGAATCACATCGTCGTCATCAATTAGGTAGCGGTTCTCATTGAAAATCATTAAAACAAATTGTAACCAGAGAGCTTCGTATCATATCATATTTTCGATTTCAAAAGATACGTACCAATGGAGTGAATTGCATGAAATTACGCGTGTCGAATCAGGGCTAATACCTTGAACGTTTAATGCAATAAGAGTTTCGTAATTACCATTTATTTAATAAAAAAGAAGATGTTCCAAGAACTTTAGGATCATCATATGTAGATTTTGTCCTGGACTTAAATATCGTTTCACATAGGACTATCGCTATTGTTGGATTTAGAACTTGACCTTAGTTGTGGATCTTACAATTCAATTTAGATTTCGGACTTGTTTTCAATTCAATACTGTCTCAACTTTGGAGTTATGTCAGAATGAAATTCAATCTGAACACTAAATCCAAATTGTAACATTCCTAATAGGGTGCATAGTATGCATGATATCTTTCCTCTTCCTACTATTTCTTCTTACCTTATATATTGATCTTATCCTTCTGTCTTTATTTCGTACATCGTGTTGTACTTTGTCTCTATTATATTGTCTTTATCTTTTCTTGTTGTTCTCATTTTTCTTTTGCATTCTTTTTTTCTCTCTGATGAATAAGTATATAAGCGTATACTTTGTATAAAAACGATGGGATTCTTGATAGGAAGAAATACAATAAAGCGTAGTTCCAGCAGTACTAGCTCTTCGTCTATCTAAAACCCATCACACAAATCTGTATAAAATACATTCTATCTCATATCAATAGTAAAAGTTTACGATTGTTTCCTTTTCTCCTGTTACTTTAACTTATGTAATCATCACATTTGAGTAATTTAAGACTATATCTTACTTAATATTGATTTAGGATATTAGACTTAACGATAATGCTACATCCTTGATAGAATAATTTTTTCCATAAATTTGCACACTAGGAAATAGCAGAGATCTATATTAAACCTAAAAATCGAGACGACGGCGCCATAGCCACAACGTCTCTAACGAAATAAAAATTGAGGAGTAGCTGCGCTAGCAGGTTATCGCTCGACGACTGTCTTGTGATCAGCGGAGAATTATTTTCTCAATCTTTTTATACTTAGGGCATATAAATAAAGTCTTTACAGAGCTATATCAATTTCTTATGGAATGCTTGAAGAAATTTTCTTTTTTTATGTAGTGATAGAGAAAACAATGCTCTGTTTTTCTATACTATTTTATCAATCTTCAACTAATCCAATAATAATAAAATTTCGATAAGAACTGTTTTTGTATAAAACTTAACTAACGGATAAGGCAGATTAAATGTTTCAATCGCTTAATATATTCTATTCAAAAACAAACTGTAACACAAGATGCAGTATGAAAAGCTCTACAATCTACAAAGCAGAGTTTATTTTAACCGTGTATTTCTCGTCAACGAAACCAAAATTCTCTGCGACTAATTTTCAGCACCGGAAAAAATCATGTGAAGAGAAATTCTGTTTTTCTTATTTCATATATAAAATAAACTGTTCTTTATAAGTTGTAGAACTTTTCACGCTGCATCTTATGATATATTTTGTCTTTTAATACAATATATTGAGTGATTGAAAA